GTTAAATGATTTTTCACACTAACCCGATTAAACTCGATATGAACCCGCTTAATCCGACACGATTAACGCCTTTAAAATAACCCGTGTGGGTAGCCCAACAATGTGTAACAACTGATTGGTTCTTGGTCAATGACGAAATAAAATACAACAGAAAAACATGATTCTTGGAGCGGTAATTTCTTTTTTTTTTTGTTTCAGCGATCAGAGATATCTGGATTAGCTTGCACGCACCTCGACTAGTCTCCTCCTTAGTCCGGTCAAATACAAACTATTCATAAGAAAATTAGAGTATTCATAAGAGATAAATAGGGGCGGCCCAACATATATAGGGGCCCTAGGCAAAGAATTTTAATGGGGCCCTATCTATATCTAATATTTCAGAATATACAATAATAAATAATAATTAAAATACATACATCTAAAATCATATCTTTGTGTTTTGAGCCGCAAAAATATAATTTTAGAATTTATATCCAAATTTTTACAGGCATCTCTATGAGAAAAAAATTATTGAGTAACATTACCAATATTCTCTAAACAATACTTGCATTCGAAAAAATCTATTTTTTTCGCGCAGGATAGTGTTTTCAATTTAACGTTAGTTTATGTTTGTAAGAATGCAATCTCTATGAGGTACTTGACGAGTCTAGAGCCAACTAGGCCTCAGCCTTGACCATGGATTAAGCTCAAATCATCAGAAAGGCTAGGCCTAGTTTTTGGCTTCAGTCCAATCCAAATCTCAAGAGTCCAGGAAGGGTCACTACACATGGGAGAGCAATCATCGGGATAGTCATAATTTCATGATAGTGTCTATCCTCAATTGAAGTTATCCTCTTCATAAGACTAGTAGTTTGACTTTCATGTCACTGTCTCATTTAGGGCTCTATGCCTATAAATTATAGACCCCTTACACGGGGGACATACATAACACCTTGTGCTTATTCTTACCCTAGCTCTTTCTCTCTTTCTTATTATCTTGTACTCTCTCATTAAGAGAATTCTCCAGTCACCGTTGCCACCTTAGTAGTTAGATCACCTAGACCCAACCACCTAATCTTTATCTCTAATTATTAATTACTTTACACCACATACTCGACTAATTTCATTGTGCATCATCAATATTAATTTGTCTACTTTCCTTTTTTATTATTTTTTTATATTAAGAGTACTTTTCAAGCAGATATAGACTTATATTAAAACGTATGATCGATTTGTTCCAACATCAAAAGCAAAAAAACAAATAAATTTCTAGCACAAGAGATAAGTTACAAATTAACGATAGATTTTTGGTACATGAAATAAATAAAATAAATATTCTTGATTGACAACCCTAAAAAAATACTTTTAGAAAATAAGATATTAAGGACTATAAAGGTTTGAACGTAAACAATTTTAATAAGAGTTGATACAAATGTTAGGACACATCCTCAAAGAGAGAGAGAGAGAGAGAGAGCTTGTGCCATAACATGTTGAGTGCTAATATTCTGTACCCATTGTCTATCATGAATTAAAACTATAGAAGTCCAATTAATGTAAATTATTATAAAATTGTGTAAGGCCAACCATATTAAGTGGGCCTTGTTCGTTGAAGTCCAACAATTTTTTGTGCTGTTGTCTTTAGCTAGACAATTGGCCACATAATGACAATGAAATTTTTATACATTGAGTTCATTTCTGGAAGGAATTTGGGGCCCTTGAATTCTTTAAATTGTGGGGGCCCTAGGTAGTCACCTAAGTGGCCTAGGCCTAGGCCTAGGGCCGGCCCTCGTGGAATGACAATTTCCTTGGATTGTTTGGGGTGCACGTCAAGGGATAAATCTCATGCTTTTTTTTAAAAATCTTGATTTTCTCTTAGGGTTTTAAGTATTCGTCTAAAGCCTTGTTATATCTGGTCTTTATAGAGTGATTCAATCATGTGATCAGCTTGTGCATCTTGTGAGAATTTAGTATTTTTTGTTTTTTTGGGATAAAATATGAGGTTTCTAATCTTTATGAGGTTTACTTCGAAGTATGTCTTTATGCATGTAACACCAAGCTATTTAAACTGAAGTGGGTGGAGATTTCTAATCCGTTCCATCCCCTACTCTTATCCCACTAGACCTGATTAAACAGGATCAGATATTCCTATCCCACACAAGTTAAACTCTTGTCCAAACACGGCCTTAATGCCTTGTTTGGAAAGAAGGGTGGAATTAGGGGCGTTCAGGAACTGGGTTACCCACGAGTCTCGTTACTCGACCCAAAAAAAATAAGTCCGATAGACTTGATAGTTGGCTCGCCCGAATCCAATATCCTTAAAAAGAGGGTTTGGGTTAACCTTCAAACCCATTACCCGGCCCGAAGCCCAACCCAAGAGCCCGCTCGTCTAGCCCAGCCCAGCCACCCTTCTGAAAAAAAATTATATTTTTAGACTATTAAATATGAAACTTTGAAATAAGTCTTTCAATATCGAAATTTGAAGTTTTAAAAATTTAAATATTGTAAATAATATATTATTTTCTTTTCTATGTATTAAGCATATTAGTTTTAAATAGTAGAATAATGCAAATGACAGATAAGTTAATAGGTGTCAACCTAGTTGAGATTTACTCATTCTATTGGATAGAGTTCATTCTTTTTTTTTTTTTTTTTTTTTTTTTTATCTATTTTGACTTTACTTTTAATTCAAAAAATTAATTTACACAAAAATTAAGTTACAAAAATATTCATTATTTTTAAATAAAGATGTATATAAAAAAGTCCGTCCCAATAGGCTTACGGGTTGGGCTGTGGGTAGCCTACTCCTACCTAAAGTCAGGCCCCTTCCCGCCCGATAACTTACTTGGGTAAAGGCTTGGGCCTACACTATCCAAGCCCGGCCCGGCTCGGCCCATGAACACCCCTACATGGAATAGACATCCATAGAAATCCTTTGTCAAACTCCAAGATAGATCAAGTGATAATCTGGATAAACTGTAAACTCAAATATCAAAAATTTGAATCTTAATAACTTTTTCGAGCCGGACCATGAGGGATATGACCTGCTTTTGACCAGACTAAAAAATGAATTGATCGAGGTGTGCTTAAGTTGACTTAAATATCCTCAACTGTAGAACCAAAAAAAAAAAAACCTTCATCACATAAATGTGAATATGTAAGTCACTAAGATTTGCCCAAACCGAAGATAAATATATTACCATAAGAATAAATTTCAATCCCACGTCATTCAACTCATAACTATTATGTAAATTTGAAATGTATGTAATCATCCGTAAATTATGCACATGAGAATATTTATTTGAGAGCTGGATTTTAGGATTTCTCGACGTTAACCACTAATATCTTCCTTGAATACACATGGCATTGGTTTTTTTGGACTGTAGGACACACCTAAAAAAGATTAAACCATGGCTGTCAATGTTTTCAATGGCGTGATCACCTTCATCTTTTTAATTCTAAGCGGCAATTCATGAAGAAGACACTATCTTTCAACCAAGCGGGGTTGAAAATTACAACATGTGTATGGTAGGGATAGATGGAAAATGTGAAGAATTAAAAGTGATCGTAATATACTTATTATCTTTTAAGGGAGAAATTCTTTTTTCTCTCTTTGTGTTTGGAAGGCGAGACGGAAATACAAAGGATTAAATTTTATTTTTACTTTTTGTCTTTGATAGGATGGAAAAGTAGAAAGATGAAAAAAATATAAATACATATTTTATTATTGTATTTATATATAAAATTAATATATACACAATATATAATAGAAAAATAAAACATCTGCATATAGGATATAAATCTAGAAAAAAATGACATAAAGGTAAATAACATATGTCCCATTTTTTGAACGATAGATTTTGATAAGTTAAAAGACACACTAATTCATTCACGTTTTCATCCTTCTTATTTTCTTTTCTTAGTAAACATTATATTTTATTTATCTTTCTAACTTTTTATCCTTCTATTTTTTCGTCATACTAAACAAAACATTAGATTAGAATATTAATGGAGTAGATTGGAAGAAAATAAAATTTATTAGTATAATAATATTTCTTTGTTCATGTTGATATGATCTTTTAGAACGTGGATGGTATTCTCTATTGAAGATTGCAAAGAAGTCATATCCCTATCATCAAGTGCATTGGAAATTTTTAGCATTTCTTAATGACTCGAGGATTAAGCTTTTACACTAAGATATATAGCAAAGGGAAAAATATATTATTGGTCCCTAAATTATGGGTTTTGTATTCGTTTAATACTCAATCTTTCAATTGTGTCAATTTAATCTTTCAAATATTCAATTTTTGTCACTCTGGTCTAATAAAAAATAATGGTTTAAATTGATTAATAAAAATGGTGACTTGAATCTCACGAGACTATGCTTAAGGGAATTTTTTTGAGAAACACAAAAGACTAAAGGGACACAAATTATAAACATGAAAGATCAAAATTACAAACATTGTAAATTGGAGGGATCGAAGTGACCCTTTATAATTGTAATTACGTGACGAGCACCCCCAAGAGTCAATTTAAACGTTTTTTTTTTATTGGACCAAAGTGTAACAAATTTAAAACTTACGGAACTACAATAATGTAATTGAAAGAATAAGGATTAAAGTGACATAAAGCGCATACGAAATTGAGTGGCTAAATTTGAAATCAAACAATCCAATATAGATGAAAAAAATTATTGTGTACATTATTTGATGGCGCTGCGTATGCTCTCTCTCTCTCTCTCTCAATCAATATTCTCCAGAAAATAATGAAGTAATATTATCAATTATGAGTCATGTGTAATTAAATCATACTCCATTCCTCTCTCACTCTCACAATATTTAGTAAATTATTATTATTTAATACAGGATTTATTTATTTTTTTTCACCAAAAGCATGCATAGATATATTTTTTTTTCATTTAATCTTATATTTTCTGTTTTTGCATCAATGCCATGAAATCAAGTTACTCTTAAATCTTTGTTCAATACAAGGGGGTTAAGAGTATCGAGCTTCATACAAGAAAGATGGGTTTTCATGTATTCAAATGTTTTGGTACGTATCCGCAAGCTTCTTTTAAATCTTTCTCAATATTTTTCATAAAACTTATAAACAATTGAATTGTTGGCGATAACAGTGGCGTCGCCAAAAGCCAAGTTTGTCGCAAAAAAACAACTTTCTTAGCGTCGCACAAAACTTCTTCTTGGCACCAATGTTTTAAGGAAGAGCTTCTGCTACAAGTCCTCTTTCCATCACTAAAAGTACCACATTAAAGTCTTTTAGCGATGAAAGATTGCTTTTTGCAACAATTTTTTAGCTTCATCTGTAAAAACTTGTAAAACTGCATTATTTTTTTCTGCATCATAGAACTGTATTTTTATCTTACACACTTCTTTTCAGGGATGAAACAACCCAAAAAAAACAAACTCGAAAGTTCTAGTACTTATACGAATCTCGGAAGTGGAGATGTGGTGAATCAAAATCCAAATAACTCGAAACCTCATGCTACTAATATCGCAGTGCAAGCAAATCTCCCTGAGGATATAACCGGCGATGAAGCAGATCAGAAGTTGAGCATCTCAAATCCTAGTGTGAAGGAAATAAGAACTGAGGATGAAACACCACCACCTTCTCATAATCGTATAGAAAACGATGAACTACATAAAACTGTGGAAAGCAAACCATTTGATGATCACCAAGAAGATATTAATCATCCTGATCCTTGTACTTATGATTTTATGCATAATATGTCGGGCGAAATGGGAGCTCTAGATCATCTGGAAAATATCTGTTATTGGATGAACACTGGAGCTTACTATACTCCGAGTAGCCATCAGAATGATAGTTCTTCGGGCGTTCAAGTTCACGATAACACAAGTAGTTCTACTGCTGGAAGTACTAACAATGATTCATGGGGGAAATATTTTCATGAAATGGGGAAATACATTTTTAAGGGTCCAGAACAGTAGATCCCAGCAAAACTAAATAGCAGAGTAGATGAAATGTAAGCAAGAATTACTTTACAAGACAATCTATGAGATATATATTCCCTTCTTTTTCTTTTTCTTTTTTAATTTCTGTAGAAAGATATAACATTATTTCCGAAAAATATATTAAATACAGAGAAGCAGCAAGAATTTGCAAAATAAAAATGAAAGAAGGAGAAAATGCAAAACCACATGTCATATGCTTGTAAACACAGTCAAGAGACTACACAAAACTGCCCACGACTTCTGCAGATTTAAACACAACCCCAAAGAGAACAATAAAGGTTATAGCGAACGAGGATGCGACAAACCAGTGGAGAAGGGCTCACCCAGCAGAAGAACTGATCCGGGACTTGAGGGCTATGGCCAACCTGCGGGCTGTGTAGGGGAATAAACTAACCCAAAAACACACAAAGATAGACACAGCCATAATGTTGATGCTAAAAGAAGTCAGTAGAGTTAGATAACAGGGACGTCGAGACAACCAGTCACGATGAACAGACATTCGAGCCCAACTTGCAAAAAACAGTCAAACAAAATCAACATCCTGTATCACAAGCTGTAGCTAAGAAAACATATACTTTTTCATGTATTTATTCTTATGCTGCATTTTTTTTTTTTTTTTTTTGCAGATGATGTATCCATTGCCAACATATTATGCAAGATCAAGACCTTTTTTGGGCTTGCAAAGGCAGAGGGCATCCTAACATATAAGAAAGAAGATGTTAGCATTATTAGTGATATCGTACATTCGATGAGCAACTGCACGCATAGTTGCTTGACATTTTTACTGGTTAGTTCAAAATTTTAATTACCCAAAATTTCTATCCTTTCTGGGGAAGGAAAAGAAAGGAACAAAAAAGTGAACCAAATCTTGAACAAATATTCCCAGCAGCATATCTAAATAGAACCCCAACTACTGTATGCTCCAGTGAAATTCACTTCTGAAGGAGTTTCATTCAGGAATAATGACTCCACTTGTGATTAAGGAAAACAAAAAACAAGGAAAAAAATGGCTCCTTCGAGCCCAACAAAAAGTTCTCTGTTAGGCTACAAACTTACTGGTCAAGATTAATTGAAGGGAAGTTTTTTTTTTGTTTTCTTAAAAAATTGTTCCTAGCTGATCAGAAACTCAGGTAAAGCACATAATAAAAGTAAATCACTAGAGCAAAAAACCATCAGAGTCAGCACCAGACACACAAACTTACTGGAAACCACTTCGACAATAAACTTTCATAGATTTGAATTAGCTCCACCTCCTTTGATCCTCTTCCTCATCTACTGGGGTATACCATGATGGCCTCTTCTTTGAGTTGCTCAACCTGTAGTTCAAGAACACCTCTTCATCGCAAAGAGCCTTAGTAACCACAAGAACGAGAGTTTTCAGAACATGAATATCTGATAAGTTATTGCCAGACCCCCCAGATTTAAACCAAAAACTGCCAAACCTCTTCATCCTTACTTCTCCTCCATTCCCAAATGATATATTTGGGATGTAGGCTCTCATGTTCCTTTCAGTTAGTGGAAAATCATAGGGGCAAACCATGACATTTGGGAGTACAGATTTAGGTGGGTGGTTGGCAAGATGACCAAAAGCTAGTGGGTTTCTCCTTTCCAGCTCATCACCATTACTCCCCACTCGTGTGCCATCCAAAGGTTTACTGAGCATCTTCCAAATTCGGTCCAAACCTTTTTCCGAAACATGCATTTCTGGACTAGATTCAGGAACTAATGAACCATTCCATACCTCACGTGTATCACTCCCGACACCCCAAGGCTGTGCATTGATGACAGTTCCATCATACCTTGAAATCAAATAAGGATTGTGTGCATCAACTCTAGGGTATCCAGGGATATAGCGGTAATGTGCCGGAGAGTATATTATGCCAGGGTAGAATGCTATGACGGCACCAACGTCTGCTTCACCATTTAAGAACAAACCTTGGCCAGCTTCCTTGTGCTGAATTCCAGACGGTTTAAGCTCAAGGGTGTAACCCAAGAGATCCTTCAATCTCTCAGATACCTCAGCACACTTTAACGGCTTTGTCTCAGCTACAGCTGTACTGAAAAGTTCATCACAGATCAGATTCCAGGAGCAGAAAGTTGCTCTGCAACTCGAAGTTTTCTCCCATAAAAGAAACTAATAACAAAAAATGCAAGTGATCAAAAAAACCATTTAGACTCTATCTAATATCACGTAAATCATAATTACTAGAGCAAAATGCCCATCTTGAGTACTTGTATATATAATTTTCTTCCCTCAAGAGTTCAAAGTCTTTAAATTTTAGACCTCAGATGACAGTTTTACCGCAAATCTTGGTAACAAAAAAGTGGTTTATTAGTCAAATATTTTAAAAGGAAATAATTTTGGACAAAGGCCAGTTATCCTCCTAGACCTCAAGTCCATAGTTTATAACATAAAGGGTGGAGAAAATTGCTGTGGAGCCACCACAATGTATACAGATCCATAAAACACAACAAACAAGTCGGCGCAAAGAAAGGCAGCTTATTTTGGCAGCACCACTTTTTTTAGTTTCCCATTTCCAGTACTTGTATACGTAAGAGTATCTGGTAAACCCCAGTTGAACTCCATCTGCAAGAGAGCAGGGGTATATATTTAAGATTAAATTACTTTTTACCTCCTTGTGATTTAAGCTATTGAAATTTTAACTCCCTATATTTTAGAAATCTAAAAATGACGTCATATTTTAAAATGCAATACCTAACATGTTCATACTTTGGCATAAGAAGACAAAAACAACATTCATCTCCTTAAATTTTATATTGTATTTCACCCTAAAATATTTTTAAAATATAAAATAAATTTAATACATAGAAAGAGAAGTGAGAAAGAAATGGGCTTATTTTAGGGACCTAAAAAAGAACATATTTGTATTCGAAAACAGAATGGAAATGGAACAAAAATTTAGAAATTTATTTCCGAAACATAGGTTGAAACATCCTAAAACTCCTCAAAACATGTGCATTTTGATATCCAATCACTAATTTAGTTCAATTTCCGTTGAAACAGAAAATTTTCAGTTGTTTCAATAGAAATGAAATGAAATCTTGATCCTTGAATACAAAGACTTAAAAACATCCAAACTGTTTCCAAGGCCAAACATAAGATGAGTGCAATTTGTTATGAAGCTCTAGAACCAAAAATTAGATATTCAATAGGGCTACAAGTTATGTTGAACTTCCATTTAAGACAAAAATAATTGAAAATAAATTAGTGCCCTCATAGATCAAATAAAACCATTTTAAATTTTTGGGCAAACTTCCCTTTGCCCCCTTTTGGTATACCCCAAATGCACATAACCTCCCTCACATGGTTTGTGAACTAAACTGCATAGTTACATTTTCTGTCTAATCTAACTGAACGTGTTACTCACGCTTTAGAAGTGAGAGTTTGTGTAAAAATACATTTTTAGAATGACCAATCTACCATCGCCAACTAACCAAAAACAAACTACCATCACCTACACCTCTCTCTCTCACTTCAGACCTTGCTCGCCACCAGCCTAATCCATTCACTCTTCTTCCTCTTTTCTTTCTTTGACAAATCCACTACCGAAAACCACCCCTTCATCTTCGTCGACAACCACCACAATCAAACCTAAACCAAAAAAGCCACCAGCACAAAACTTCTTACTTTCATCAATCATCAAACAAATCTTATTTTCAATCTTCTTCCCTTGTTCTTGTACCCCTTCCTTCTCTCTCCTATTTCTACACTAAATTTTTGCTCATAAATTCTTTAGTGAATCTGCTAGAATTTTGACAAGAATTTGCTGTGAATTTTCTCTAATGTTGATCTTCATGAAACTTTTCTACTGAATTTTTGAATATTTTTCTATTGAAAAACTAAAAATAGATGTTGAAAACTTTTGCTGGAAAGGTTTACTGAATTTTTCTGAATTGTTTTACCATATTCTAGGTTGGATTTTAGGATTCACCTTGATTTCTAGTGAAGATGTTTTGGGTTTATGTGGGGAAGTGCCTTTATTCAAGGTGCTGGTGATAGTTTTTATGCAAGGACTTGGAGATTGGGTATGTTAGAGGAGGGGTGGGTTTGTTGGGAAGAAGGAGAGACAGTAACAAGGTCATTTTATATTTTCTGTTAACAGTGTTAGCAAGGCAGTTTAATCCACAAACCATGTGAGGGTTATGTGGAAATTTTTAAATGTGAGGGAGGTTATGTGTATTTAGGGTATACAATAAGGGGGTAAAGGGAAGTTTGGCCTATATTTTTTGAACTCCATCTTATTGCCCAACTTAATTTGATATAGCCAAAAACCTTGGGTCATATACCATCCTTTCTACAATGCCCATTGATGAAGTGCAAACACCTCACATGTTTACCCAAACGCTCTCTATTTGGGATAATCACGAAGCCGAAAAATGGATATTCTTTCTTAGCTGCTGCTCCCCTTCCTTTCTAAACCCTATTAGATGCTAAGGTTTTGGAAACATCACTTTGATGCATCAGCTCTCAGTTCCTCAATTTTTCTAAGTGGCATAGACACTCCTATCACAGCAATAGTGTGACCCTAAATTGAAATCACTCACAAGATCTTAATAATATCTACCATTTCTTCAAGAAGCCAAGAAATCAACGAAATAAAACAAAACGGAAGAATAATATATAATTAAAACTGGTTGTCAGCTTGAATGGGTGGAAAAGTTTTATGCAATTGATGTTTTTGAAAATGTTCACTTAAAACACCCAGCAGTTAATACGACATTCAACCAAATCTTCTGAAAATTTGTAACTGCATATGACCAATAGAATACTCACCAGGGCAGTTGCTCAATGGAACATTGATGCCAACAGCAAGACCCAGGCCACTACGGCGAGGAGCAGCATCACTTTCTGGAGATGACTTCAGCGGCTCATCTATGCTTTTTAAATCAGGAAGGAGAATGTCATCCATATATGTGCAGAAGGTTTTAATCTGCAAGTGGATGTTTTCTTGGACCTGCTTCTGCTGATCAGCTAGGGAAGCCTTATTAGCCAAGTCAATGATCTCCTCTGCATCTGTTGTATTAGCTTGCCTTCCCAAACTATTGTAGCTGAAAATTGAAGTATTTCATGAGTAATCAGGACAATCATATCACAAGCAAACAAGCAGTAAAGCAACTATAATATATGATGTAGAGTATCAATACATGATGTGCAGGAGAATGGTCATAGTCTTACTTCTGATTTGGCTCAAGCTTTTGACACCAATGTTACCTGGATTGTAGGTCGCTTTGGTACGTGGTACGGATACGGGTATATAGTATGACACTTTTTTAGGTACGCGGTATGATGGGAGTAGGTTTAACTCGTACAATATTTTGTGTCGCAATTCATTTTGGAACTCTTATGTAGATCGTTTTCACCACTATACAACATTATATATTACAGAACATTCATAAACACAAAGTTAGTTACCATTTATCTTATAGTTGTGCTTGATTTTCTATTATCTAAAATAATATATAATTATAAATATATATATATATATATATATATATAGTCAATTAATATGTATTTTATATTTGTGCTACATGTTCTAAAGCGAATTGATTTAGGGTAAGTATTACAATTTGGGGTCGTCCATTTTGATAATCTAGATCGCAAACCCACCTCGTTTGGGATCGATGTATGTAGATTGTGGGTCGTTAAGGATTTAGTAAATTGTAGTAACCATGTTTTACACTACTTCCAGTGTGAATGACTAATATTACTTCATAATAGAACAAACAAAAATAACTCCAAAATCCAAATAAAGTCATTGAATATAAGAAAGTGAAATTACTCCCTAAAAGCTAGAATTCAACTCTACTACTTAACTCTTCAAATCAAGGTTTTTCTAGCGTCTATGTCTATGCAGTTAAAGCATTAATTGGTTGGACTTCAATTTTGAAAGATATCATACTTAACAAACAGCGTACAAATAACCAGAAGGTTAACAACATAGCCTTGCCATTGCAGCTCAACACCACAGAACTATCACTCATAATAGATCTTACAGTAATCTAGAGATATGATTCCTTTTCTTTTTGACCCAAACTTCAGAATTATGATTTCATTTCTTTCCCATTTTGCACAATAGTATGAACTACTCCACATATATTGAGTTTCGTGATGAGCCAAATCTAGTAACATTAAGACTCTGCATGCTTGCTTTTTTTTTTCAGACTCTGCATGCTTAAATCATGGCTTTTTAGCAGCAAATCCTTATCTCACAATAATCTTGGAAAAAACATCAGCTGCAAGTTCCAGACTGAGAGTTTTACACAGTATAAGAAAATTCGTAACCATAAGATTATTATCAAACACCACACAGTGTGACACTGCATCAGGTTCCACAATAAAGTCTGACAGATGCAAGATGTCATCCAAGAGATTACTACATAAGAAGAGCATCCCACCCTAAAATAATGGCAACCTGTAACAAAATACTATAAGCAGGAGTCCTGTGAGCCCCACTTGGTCCATGTTCGAACTGATACTGACCTGGTGTAAAGAAATAGGCGATTTATGTCTGCTTCAAATTGAAGGTGTCTTGGATCTCTAGCAAATGTGGGACTTTTTGCAAGAGTCTTCACAGCCTAAGAATACAATATGCACAAACAGCAAAACCTCATTAAGAAGCAAGAATGATAAAATGCCCTCTTTTTAAATATAGACAAAGAGGATATGAAGAATCCATTAATTCATATATTTCAGAAGAACTGCTGGTAAAAAGAAAAATTATAGCCACTATAGTTCAAATACAGCCATTTGTAGCACTTCAACCCTTATGATCAAATATAGCACATAACTTTCACTTAGTTTGGGATGAATTTGTATAATTGACTCTGTTAACGATGACCGCCAAATGACCTTAATATATTCCACATATCTAATTTTAGTTAAAATCCTAATCAATTTATCTATTCTCTCTCCTCAAAATCATCACTACCAAGATCCACCAATAGCCGCCCACCCACACATCATCAAGCACCAAATCAATCGATTCTCCATCTCTCTCTCTCTCTTTACACACACACACATCCCCATATGCATTTCTATTTTTAATTGTGTCAACTGTTGTAGAGTATGTGCCAGTGGTGACAGGTGGTAACAAGGGTGGTGATTTTGGGGAGCAAGATGGTGAAGACCTAGTTGGAGGGAGGAACAAAGGAATATATGCTCCCATCAATTGTCAGCATTGGCTCATTACTGCCTAAAGCTTCAAGAAATTCTTACTCATATATGTGTGTGTCGAATAAGGCTTTGTTGCGTACGCATATGGAAAATTACAGAAAAGGCATGTTGCACCACCACCGTAAACTTATCTCATCACTGACATCAATTGGTCCCCCAGACCACTCTTACACCACTTCAAAACTGAACATCATTCCCAAGTTTATGGGACGCAGTGGAAGTGTTCTGATTCCCCTCAAACTGCAGATGTTTGAACAGATTTTAGCAAATTCACCTGAACATCCTAATAACGAGAAGGACCAAACCAAAGGATTAATCATGTTTCAAATTCATCCCAATTGAGCACTCAACCACTTGACTGTACAGCTCGTACCACTGTAATGCGCCAATCGTCAAGTTGACTGAAGGGTAATTTCTACCTTCATCTCTCCATATTGTGGTATAATCAAAAATAGCGCTCTGCCAATGAGAGATGAAGGTAAAAATAGCCTATTTTTGATCACGATCAGCTCCAAACGACAAGGGAGTTCAATTTTGCTTAAGTTGAAACTCCTCACTGAGACTTTTCAATGCCTATTCCATACGGGTACTACAATTACAACTAGCCTCTGTCATTTGGCTAGTGAAAAACAGCTTTCCACTTCCAATTACAATTTGAAAGGACAAGAAAGAGTAATTTAAGACAAGAAAAAATTGATCATTTTAGGGGAAATGAAAAATGTCATATTATAAATAGAAGTATTATAAACGAACGAATTTAACCAACCAGTCTTCACACAAACCTAATAAAAGTTTCAATAAAGCTTTACTCCTGAAAATAGTCATTACAACTAAAGTGGTGCGTGTGTGTGCGAGAGAGAGAGAGAGAGAGAGAGAGAGAGAGAGAGAGAGAGAGAGAGAGTGGGAAAGAGAGTACGTTTTGAAATTTCTGAAACAGGAACGCCATGAAAGGAGTGGTAGATAAGTCTCTAACTCAATCTTAAACCTGTGTCCGGTAAAGGGCAAAGAGTTCAACACCGTGAGTGGAGGTCGTCTGGTTTCAAACCCTAATTACGGTGTGGTTGATTTTGGGGAAAGAGATGAAAATTCAACAAAGGGGAAAAAAATGTCATGTTTTAAATTACAAGAAAAGAGGAAAATAAAAGAAAATTTTGAGTTTTGGGTTAATTGCACCGGACAATCCCATTTTATTTGAGGAAATATTGAATATTTATATAATAAAGTATCTACATTTTTTTGTATTTATCTTTTTGTGACTCACATTACTTGACAATTATTGATTTGACGGTTCTCGTACCAAAATTTTCACAGAATCTTTCATTTAACTTTCTTTATATATCTTATACTCTCTCCCTCTTTATCTCTCTCTCTTATATTATTATCTTATTATTTTTGTTTTTCAAGTGTTATTTTTTTATTATTTACTCCACAAAACATATGAAATTACATGTTATACAATTATTTATTCCATAAAATTAATTCAAAATTGTATGCAAGTATTTTGTCACTTATTTTTTAATTTGTAAATAACACTTAATGTAAGTAAAAAATAATACACATTTTTCACGATTTGAGGACTTTTTTATCTGAGTTTCACATATTTGCCTAAAATTAGGTCTTAATTGATTCAGGACCTAAATTCTTCTAAAATTCTCATTGATAATGGTTTTTATATAAATTTTTAAATTTTTTTTTAATGTTTGCTCTATTTGTTATAATTTTGGTACTAAATTCTTAAAATTTTTTCAAACTATCAATTTTTCAATATTTTTTGTCAACTTTTTAATTTACTTTCACTTATTTTCATGCTAACCCAGAGATTTTTAAGTTTAACAAGTGGAGGTGAGCGATTCTCTTAAAAAAAAAGTAGAGGTTAATAATTAGTTTGGTTTAAGTATGTGTGGTCGAATCTTGACCAAAAGAAAATTTATCAAATGATATAGTAAGAGAGAATACGTTATGGTATGAAAAAATCTGTATTTAAATTTTATGGGTTAAAATACAAATTTTTAAGTTTATATATAACAAAAAAAATTATAATTTAAGGTCAATTTTATGTTGGTTTAATTAATAATAAATAATATTCAACACGAAATGAACCTTAAATTGTAAATTAATATATATTTTTATCAGATATTGATATTTAATTTTGTCCAATTTATATTCAACTTTGGTGAATTAATATCAAATTAATTTTTAGTGTTATCAAATTAATATTAAAATTCATTTAATCAATTTTTTGGGGACTAAAACATATCAATTTTTTGGGTACTAAATCAAATCTTATTTTATTTTATTAAATTTTTAATTTTTTTGGGTACTAAAGTTGGAGAAAGACAATTATAAAAATAATAATTTTTTTAAGGGGATTAAATCATCACTTTCCGTTATCAATATTAAAGGAAGGGAGACAGAGGAGGTATATATGTAATAAATTTTAAACTCTAAAGATCTCTGTGTTATTTATAAAATATCAGGGGGTGTCCTCATAATATTGTTAAAACTCAAGGGAAGTCCATATTTCTTACCCTATTTTTTAATTAGATATTAATTTATTATTATTTTTATCATAAAAACTTGAATTATTATATTTCTAATAAAAATAGTTATTGGTTAAGAAGGTTTATTGGTTGCCAAAAAAAATAAATGTGTGAGAGTATGTTGTCATGCATATAGTTATACGTGAATGATTGAAAATTTGGTAATTAAATTCATAATTTTATTGTGTCATTTGGGGTTGAATGGTTATAGTGGTGATAAATTCACGAGTTTTATAAATGAGTAAGATTTGATTGATTTTATTTCTCGCTTAAATATTATGAATTTAATTGCGTTATGTTAGTATATATATATATATTTATTTGGCTTGAGATATTTATTGCATGGGGATAGGGTGAATTGAAAATATGGTGATTGTGTTTATAATTATATTTTGTTATTAGATTGAGTTGTGGTAAAGGTGATAAATTCACGAGTCTTATAAATTAGAAAAATTTTATTTATTACTTAAATATTGTAAATTTCAATGGATCATATTAGTATTTTTTTCGAAGGCATTTATATATATGGTGTTGTTTAGAAGAATTTTATATATTTTTACGACAATTCTATTAATATGAAAGATATGATCGGCAATATATTTCAAGTCATTTTAAAAGAAAAATTTATATGAATATTTTTAGACCATTCTTTTTTAATTTAGACAATTGTGTAAGAATTTTTTGTTTGTTATATAGTGCCTTTAGACACTGGTAAATGACTAGTGTTTTTATATAATCTCTCAAATAGATAACATTTAAATTGCTAACAATTTTTAATCCTAACTTATTAGGTGATATTTAAATTTGAGCCAAAAAAAATAATTTGGATAACTTTTAACTAAAATTTGGTAACTCTTAACCAAAAAATTTATAATATGGGTAGCTCTTGACCATAATTTATATAACTCATTATAAAAAATGTATAATTTGGGTAGCTTTTTAACCAAAATTTGGGTAAAATATTTTTAGAGTTATCCAAATTATTTTTTTGCTCATATTTAAGTATTATGTGACAACTGACAAATTTATAATAAAAAATCATTAGAAATCTAAACTATATCTCCTTGAAAGGGGTGTCAATTTTATCTATTAACACGAACTCGATCCAACATAAAATTCAAAAATAACACGATTAGTTGATACGAGTAATAAATTGGTCAAATTAAAGTTTGACATGAATAACACGATTAACATGTATTGTAAATAAAAAATAAATATTTAACAAGGTATGTAGACAAAAAATAAGATTTTAATAATTTTTTAAATAGTATTATATGAGTTGTCGTAAAATTAAATAAGTTTTTATTGATCCGAATATTAACACGAATTCAACACGTACCGAAAGTAGCCCAACACGAAAATAACATGATACAAAAATGACACAACACGACACGATTTATACCCCTGTTCATAGAAATATATTTAATACTTTATGAATTAAAATGATCTAATTAAAATATTGTGGACTAAAATAAATAAAAAAATCTCATATTTTGAGAATCGCCCATGCAATTAACCCTTTAACTTTGTCTCATCTATTTGGTGAAAAATATAACATCCTAAAATAGAAGTTAAAATTTTAATATGAGTCAAGTTAAAGTTTTGAAAACAAAATAATTAGAAAACTTGATGCGGGCTTAGAATTAGACTTTGATATCGGATTTGATCTCACCTAGTGATGTTATAAAGAGGCCCAAAATGGAGTTTAATACGAGGATAAAGTAATTAAAATTACAAAATAATTAGAAAACTTGATGTGGGCTTAGAATTACACTAGATGTCAGATTATAAAATCTAATTTCTATGTTTAATAAATCTAATGTATTAATATGAAATTTTTGTTCAAAAAAAATATGAAATTGATTTGTGGTAAACAATTAATCCAAGCGTTTGATTTGTGGGTCAAATTGAGTTTTTAGGGTGTTGATTTGGTGATAATCAAAATATTTTTGAGTTAAAATAACATTAAAAATAATCTCGCATCAAAAAACCCTATGGTGGGGTCATATGATCAACCTATCAACCATAGGTTTTTTCTAGAAAAAAAAAAGAATTTTGGAAAGAATGTGTGTTCGACTAGTCGGATCCCACAACCAACTATGTTGATATATAAACTGACTAGCTTTATTTTTCTCGAGTCCAACTCCTCTACAGTTGACCACTAATCAAATGTCATACAATTTAATCAAACGACGCTAATTTGCCTTTTTTTTTGTAAACCAATGCACAGAAACGACACCGTTTAACTCTTCCCATATCAAAACCAAACGATCAGCTTCTTCTCTCTCAATTGCCCCAAATCCCTAACCCTTCTTCTACGTCATCTCCCCCCTACCTTAGACCTCTCTTTGCCATTCTTCTTTGTCATCTGTCATGAAATGTTGCAATGGAGCTTGAAGATCCAACCACCTCTCTCTCTCTCTCTAACACATGACTATAGCAATTAAAGGTGATGAGCCCAAACCTAATTATGTTCGGGCCTAGTTCATAGGTTAAGTCCAAATTATTAAAAGGTAGGTCAGACTTAACTCATGAACTCAATCTAATCCAAAACCCAAGAGTCTAAGAAGAGTCAACGCATGTGAAAAAGCAATTATCGAGATAGTTATTACTCTAAGATAGTGTCCATCCTCAATTGTAGTCATCCTCTTCGATAAATTAATAGTTTGACCTTCATGACATCACCACCTCAACTAGGGTTTTTGTGCCTATAAATTGTAAACCTCCTACATATGGGGACAAATCTCACACACCTCACTTGGAGCATACACTTACTCTCTCATTAATAGAGTTATTCGGCCATCGTTGCCCCTTTCAATGATTAGGTCACCCAGACCCAACCAACTAGTATTTGTCTCTTATTATTAATTGCTTCATTAATTATTTTACACCACACACTTGACTAATTTGCATGTCCATAATCAACTTTGTATATCATCAAAAAGTTCAATCTCTATTTACATAAAATTGATATGAAGGTCCAATCTCTGGTATAAAGGATGGAGAAATTTTTTTACATAAAATTGTTCATTTCTATTTGGGTGGGGTTTAGGGTTTTCTGGTTTTGTGTTTGTATAGCCATTGTGTTACATGGTTTTGTGTTGTGTTATTTGATAGTTGCAATGCAATGGCAATGAAAATTGTTATTTGGGTGGGGTTTAATTGTTTCTCTGGCACTAATAAACTTGTTGTAATTTTCATATACTAACATTTACAAGTTTGTGTCAAGATTTTTTGAACATGTCTTTGAAGCAACCTCTCCAAAATTGACGAACTTGAACTTGAAGTTGAAGATTGATAAACTTTATACTAGAGTTCAACGTTTTGAGGCATATGAAAGAGCAATGCAATCATATATATTTGTAACCACGTTACTAGTGGTGATGTTTATGTTTGTGATTCTAGTGAATTAGTAAAAAGTGATGAATGCGTGTAACTTATTGATGGTGTGTGAACTTGTGGGTTTAACTTGTGTTGTGAATGAAGGTTCCATGGCTTTGTTGTATTGATGAAATTTGTAAGTTTG